AGGTAGAAGTAAGTAGTCAGCGATGAATTACAAAGATGAGTCATTTCTACCTGATTATTGAATACCCTGATTACATACCTTTCTCTAGGAGCAAAGATGCAAAATTACTGGTGAAGGTACAGTTTTAGTGGAACAAATTGCTCACTTTACCAGGATTATTAAAGAGAGATTTGAGAAAACATAGATAACTACTGACAAGTGTATCTGGCTTCCACCTTTGAAGGCCAGTGTTTGGGAACTCATACTTACAGTATGAGTAAACAAGACTTATTTAACAATCAAATGGGAGTTATTTTATTGTCTCTAATCCTCTACTTATTATTCCAAGGAATGAACCCACATTTCCCTCTCCTCCATACTCAGCCTCAGCATGTATTATTTCCCTTTTCCTCTTATCAAAAGCTGCTTTTGGATAATAATCTGATGAATTAGGTCTAAATAACTAACAAGTCTTAAAATATTACCTTTCCCAGGATTATGGTTTTTGTGCTAGAGGAATAAATTACTCAGAGGGATAAAAATCTAATAGCAGAATTTCGGGTGAGCCCAAGGAAGGGTTTTTGATCATGGGACTTTCCGAGCCTGCATGGTGGTCAGCCAGGTTGGTCCTGAGTATAAGTTCAAGTGAAAAATGACTAGGACAAGGACAGGTCCTAGCCTAGGGATTCAGTCTGGTTCTGCGTATTTAGGTTTGTGCTGGAAGGAGGCTTCGTGGTGCAGTGATTAAGCACTCTGCTGCTTATCAAAAGGTTGATGGTTTGAACCCACCAGCTGCTCTTCATGAGAAAGATGTGGCAGTCTTCTTTCATAAAGATTTGTTGCTGTTAGGTGCCATCAAGTTTGTTCTGACTCATAGAGAACCTACGTACAACAGAATGAAACACTAGTCCTGTGCCATCCTCACAATCCTTGGTATGTTGGAGTTCACAGCCACTGCATCAATTCATCTGGTTGTGGAGCTTCCCCTCTTCACTGACCCTCTACTTTATCAAACATGATATCCTTCTCCAGGAATTGGTCCCCTCTGCATGACTGAAGTATGAGAGACAGAGTCTGGCCTTTTTTTGCTTTTAAGGAGCATTCCAGCTGTACTTCCTCAAGACCGATTTGTTCATTCTTCTAGCAGTCCATGGTACATTCAATATTCTTCACCATCACCATAACTCAAATGTATCAATTCTTCTGCAGTGTTCTTTCTTCATTGTCCAACTCTCACATACAGATTAGACTACTGAAAATTGCAAGGTTTGGGTCTTTACAGTGGTATCTTTGCTCTTTAACACAAGAGGTCTTTTGCAGCAGATTTCCTTGACTGCTGGTCCCATGGGTGTTAATTGTGGATCCAAGTAAAATGAAATCCTTGATAACTTCAGTCTTTTCTCCATTTGCCATGCTGTTGCTTATTGGTCCAATTGAGGATATTTGTTTTCTTTATGTTGAGGTGTAATCCACACTGATGGCTGATCTCTGATCTTCATCAGTAACTGCTTCATCTTCCTCATTTTTTAGCAAGTAAGGTTGTGTCATCTGCATATGGCAGGCTGTTAATACACCTTCCTCCAATCCTGATACCATGTTCATTTATAGCCTTGGAAACCCTGTTAGGCAGTTGCACTCTGTCCTACAGGGTCACTAGGAGTTGGAAGCAATTTGTGGGCCTTGGGTTAGATTTTGTTGGTAGTGGTTAGGTTTGCTTTGGATACACTCAGGATGAATCTATAGTATATTTGAAACACTCTTGAATCAACCTGAGACTAGACACAAACACTGGAATTTCAGAATTCAGCTGGTCTTCTTTCACAAAGAAGTATGCTTTTGGGGACTGATCCTTTCAGTTCAGAGCTACAACACTGAGCTCTGGTCAGACTCAAAGCAGTTTTGGGAAGTGGGAAAAAAATCTTTCTCATGACGATTTAAAAATTGCTTATATAGTGTATTCACTTTAGATGTTATACAATGGGTAAGATTTTTCTTCCTTGCTTCTAGTTACAACTCTCTTACCTCCAGTTAAGCACTGAATAAGCCTGAACACTTTGGCATTGGTATTATCTGTGAATTTTCAACTTCTGCTCTACATTAAGAAACTAATACTTGTGTTAATTCAAGGAATTTGGGGGAGGAGTTAGTTAAAATGTTCATGCCCCTAATAGGTCTTGAATATCTTCAGAGTTATTCCAAATGTTTTTCACCAGTGTACAACTCACTTTAGAAAAGAATCCTTTGATGGTCTTTACTAACTCCTCCCTTGGATGGGTGCCCAAAACCATCTGTATGGTACCCAATTCTTTATTCCTACTTGGTAATAAATAATTATCTCTGGAACACAGACGGAAGAGCTGAACCAGTGACTTCAGGGACCCAGAGACTACTATCACTGTACACAGTTAAGTGCAGGGGGGAGGATGTGTGTGGGTGTGTGGTTTGCTCCATATCTTTGTTTCTTCTCCAGGTAAAAACAAAGCCCTCATGCCTGTTAATACATCTAAAGCAGTTTTACAAAACCTACTGTCCTGGAGTAGATTCTGACTCACAGCGACCCTCTAGGACAAAGTAGAACTGTCCCATAGACTTTCTAAGGCTGTAAATCTTTTCAGAAGCAAACTGCCACATTTGCCTCCTTTAGGGGGGCTGGTTTGTTCTTTTTGGTTAGCTGCTGAGCGCTGAACCACTGAGTCATCAGGTTCCTAAGTCCCTTGGTCAGGGTTTCAGGGTCTATGAATTTATAGATTAGTGAGTTCAGGTGCATAAGGTTCTTCCTTCAAAACCAAACCAAACTCACTGCCATCGAGTGGGACCTGGCTCACAGTGACCACTCCTTGATTGCCCAACCTTCCTTCCGAGGAGTGGCTGGAAGGTTATGAACCGCCAACCTTCTGGTAGCGGTCCAATATGTAGCGCTATGCTACCAAAGTTCCTAGGTTCTTCCTTAGCCTTCCTAAGCCTACTGAAAAGGCTCAAACCCTTCTCTGTGACTTACAAGCTACACTTGGAGCGAGTCTGAAGAAGAATTTGTTTTGAGTAGGGGTTGGTTTAGGAGCTCTGGTAGCATAGTGGCTAAAGCACTTGACTGCTAACCAGAAGGCTGGCGGTTCAAACCCACCAGCCACTCCTCGGAAGGAAGGTTAGGCAATCCTACCTCCCTAGTGATACTGCCTCGGAAACCCAAGGAGGGGTCGCTATGAGTCGGGTCTGACTCGACGGCACATAACAACAACAACAACAGGGGTTGGTTCAAAGTGAGGGCAAATTTACATAACATTAAAGGGTAAGTAGGATTTGTCTGTAAGTTGGAGGTTTGTAACCCGGGGACTGCCTGTAACTGCAAAAAACTGCAATGTTATGGTTGATGCTCTCTATGCCATATGTGTTGATGGAACGCTTAAGAATCTCTCCGCAATATACGCAAACCCTGCCAGGTTGAATTATTAGGGCCAGCACAATTCATTGCACCACCGAAACCGCTGGGGTTGGAAGCATACGTCGCATTCGGAGTGTAGCCAATGTTTCTTCAAACAAAGGCACTATCTCAAGGCGATTTTGCGGGCCATTTTTCTTCTCCCAGAGCCAGCTTTGTCTCCCCGCCGGTGTGAGGCTGAGACTTGGAGGAACCCCAGCTGCGTGGCTGTGTGAGCAAGCTCGAAGAAAAAGCCGGCGTGGGAGCTCCACTAAAATGCCCTTGTGGTTTCCTGCAACCTGAGCGTGCCATTAGAGGAAGTTGGAGTGCTGCAGTTGAAAGAGATACCTGCAGCCTTCAAATCCGGGCTGGACTTGGACAACCTCTTTGCACGGTTACTGTCGTACAAAGAAACTCAGTCAGCCAGGGCGGCGGAGGCCTGTGGACTCTCCGTCTCGGGGCCTCAGCGCGGCACTGCTAGGCGCCAGTCAGGGTCGGCGTCTTCAGCGCCACCCCCTTCGGGCTGCACAGGAGCGGGTGTGTGCAGGGTCGTGGGGCGGGCTGGGAACAGGCAGACAGGCCTCCCCCGGGCCTGGGCTGGAGGGGGGCCCATCACAGCACAGCGCCTCGCACGCGAACCCGCGACCGCCAGCGGCCCCTCCCCTCCCAGCCCCCAATCCACCGCCCCCAGCCGCAGCCGACGTCGGCCGCCCGCCCCCGCAAGCCGCGACTGGCTCGCGCCGGCCTCCAATCTAGCTGTTGGCGGTTGGGGCGAAGCCGGCGGGAGGCCGCCCCGCCTCCGCCGCGCGCAGCTTCTTCCCCCCTCACCGGGGCGGTGGCGCTGTTGCTGTCGCGGCCTGTGAGGCTGTAACTCCCCTGCACTCCAGCCCATTCCTCCTCCTTTCTCTCTTCTCCCTCCCTCCCCTCCTGTCTCCTCGCTGTCCCTCGCTTGAGTGAATGTGGCGCGGCGGCGCGGGACGCAGCCTCGGCTACTGCCGCGGCCCCGCGAGCTCTTGAGGAGACGCCGCCGCCTGTCCCCTCCCCCTGCGCTTCTCGAGGGAGCTGCCGACGCGGTGGAGGAAGAGCGCGGAGGGGAGCGAAGGGACGGTGGCGGGAAAACGAGGGACGTATCAGAAGAGGTTCGAGGGCGAGCAGAGAAGGCAGGGAGGGACGGACGGAAGAACGGACAGCCCGACGGACGGCCCGGGGAAGGGGCCGCTTGCAAGTCTGCTTGGCCCCTCGGCTCCGGCTTGCGGCGGCGGCGGCGCGGCCGAAGGGCGCGGCAGGCGCTATCGAGACAATAACCCAGCCGCCCGGCTCTGGGGGCGGCGGCAGCGAAGAGGAGGTGGCGGCCTAGTGTGGCCGAGGCTGGACGAGCACCCCGCCGGGGTCTTGGCCCCCGCCAGCCGGACTCCACCGCCGTCGGTCGTGCGGGGCGCCCGGGGCCGGAGCCTCAGGCTCCCTGCGGACGCCCCCTCCCATCCCCCGCTCCCGAGCGCGGGGAGCTGGTTTTCCGGGTTCCCCTGGACGGAGCGGTATCCTGCTTCTTGCCGAGCCAGGAAGTGAGTTTCGTACGGTAATTCCGGGAGGTGTCACGCGTGAAAAGTTTTTTTTTTTTCCCTGCGGAGATCCTACTTGGGGTTGGGAAACTCCTGCAAAACTCGAGACCCGGAAACCAGTTCGCCTCCCAACCCCCACCAAAGCAACATACTCTTCCTACTGCGGGAGGCCACTCCACATCCGCTCTCACCGGAGAGATTCGGTAGGATCCAAAGTGACTCTTGAAGGAGAGGAAATCATGTCAGGCGAAGCCTTGAAAAAGCTGCCTTGAGACACCACTGCCCGACCGAAAGGTAATTTTCGTGAAAAGTGTCAAGAAGTCAAAGTTCATGGGCCGGGAAAGACTAGTGTTCTCAGCTTTCCCCAAAGTTGCCCTAACTTCTCTGATATCGAATATCGTTTCGGTGTCTTCCAGTAGAACTAAGAAGCCCCTTCCGCCCCCTTTCCGCCATCTGGGCCCTGGTTATTTTAAGAGGTTTTCAGAATGCGGTGGGACGAAGAGTTTTGTACAATATGAAGGAAGAGTGCCTTTGTTCTGTACGAGGTCCAGAAGTTTGATTTTTCCTGAACATATACGATGTATATAAATGTATTATATGAAGTTGCTGAGTCTGACAGCTCTTGTTTTGAACGAAAGTTAGGTCGCTGCAGCGAGTGATTTGCTGTGTTAGAGATGGCTGCCACATTTGTTTATAGTGTTACTGATTATTTTGGTTAATCGTATACAGAGATTCTGTAGTTCACACTCTTATAAATATATTTCATTGGATTGTATTAACAAAAATAAAGTTGCCATTCTTAGTAATTTTTCTGGGAGGTTAATAGATTTTAGTGTGATGAACTTGGCTCCTGTCAGATGTTTAGAACTTTGTGTTTGTTTGGCTAATTGAAAGCAAGTATCTGTTCTTTCTTCTAACAGCCCAAGTAGGAAGAAAAAGGAGAGGGGGTAAGGGTTATGAAAAGGAGCTCTGGTAGTGTAGTGGTAAAGCGTTCTGCTGCCAACCGAAAGGTCAGCGATTTTAACCCACCAGCTGCTCCGCGGGAGAAAGATTTGGCAGTCTACTTCCGTAAAGATTTACAGTTTTGAAAATCCTATGGGGCAATTCTACCTGGTCCTTTGGGGTCGCTATGAGTCGGAATCGATTCGATGGCAACGGGGTTAAGGGTATGGATGAAGAGTATTACACTTTTCTTTCTTTTTTAAAAATCACACCTGTAACTTGTTTGGTTTGTTTGCTAGAACTTCTCTGTAATCCAGAACTGAATGTGTAGGTAGGGAAGTGAAACGCTTAAAACGATTTTTATGGGACTCCCGTTAATTTTGATAAAAAGTCATGCTTTTTGAATAGTGCAGTATTTACCTTTTTATGTCAGCACACATGTTTTTTTTTTTTTTTAGAAGGTTATGCTGTTGAGTGCTAGGTACCTACTGGTGGGCAGAAATTCATGAAGCATGGCAGACATTCCACCAGTAAGAGTTATGAACACTCTGAACCAATCGGTAGTCGTCTTAGATGAAACTAGTTTTGGTTGCCGCAAGCCCAGATTGTTTTTTCAGTGGTGTTTGTGTGTGTGTGTGTGTTATAAGTTTAGTTTTCCCCGGTATTTTGTGATAAAGGGAGGTGAAGATAATATACTGTGCTTTCAAATAAATGTTGGATAAAGACAGTATTCTTTTGGCAGGTATGTTTTAAATATAAATTGATGTTTAGCTTGCCGGTGAGAACTCAAGTAATTATCAGACCTGAATAGTTGACTATTTCAGTTTAAAGCAGAGAAAAGGTAGGGAATCTTTTAACTATTGTTTACTGTGTATTGTTTTCATTTCTTTTTCAGAGCCTAGTCTTTGGACTTTTTCTCATTTTTGGTAAGATTTTGTGAGCGATCAAGTAATTCTCATTATATCAAACTATCTTTATTAAGGAATTTTGAATGCATTACTGATCTACTTTATGATTTTGGAAGTATTATTAAGCAGCGAAAGAGGTTATTCTTGGGCATCTGAAAGAGTGGAACAAAATAAATAGCATTGAACTTCAGTTTCCTTATATGGCTTATCTTGGCCTCAGAGCAACAAAGCCTTAATAGAGCAAGTCTTTTACAGAGACTTTGTTTTGTGAATATATTTCTCTGTATTAGTAAATTTTATTTAAAAATTATAGCACTTGAAAATAACTGTTTAAAACATTTTTCACTTGTACCTCTTGACTTTTTTTTTAATTGTTGAGGGAGTAGTAGTAAGTTTAGATGCAGGCAATATATTTTTAAGAGTGAGGTGTTCACCTTTGTGTCTGTCTTTGAGTCCCTTCCCCCCCCCCCAACAAAGTATAATTAGTACTTTGCTTAGAATTCTGTTGGTTTGCTGTTGAATTAAGTTAATAAATTTTAGATTTTGTGTTATTCTTGTCAAGCACTAAGCATTTATAAAATCTTTTTAAAAGTATTACGCAAAAACCAAAAACCCAAACTCACTGCGATCAAGCCCATCTACTCATAGTGAGACCCCTCCTTAGGTTTCTGAGCAGTATCTCTACTGAAGTAGATTGCCCAGTCTTCCTTCCAAGGAGTGGCAGGTGGGTTTGAACTGCCAGCCTTCTGGTTAGCAATCAAATGCGTTAGGCACTGCACCACCAGAGCTCCCAGTATTATGCAAAAGTTTGAAAAATACTTGGTTTTAGAGAGACAGTAATGAGTTCAAATACATAAATGGCTTCAAAATTTGCATATTCTTAGTATTGTGTGTTTTCTTAAATTAACAAATGTAGAGTACTGTCAGAGTGCTTTGCTTATATTACACAAAATACACATTTAATGGATGTTTGTTGAAAGTAATGATGTTTTCATTGGTGATACACTTAAGTCATCCTTCAGCTAATCAATTCAAATATTAAGATATGAAGTCAGCCTGCTGTTTGTGATCCAGCTATTATAAATTTTTCATGTATGAAGTTTATGTGGAAACCAACTTCTTATTGCATGGTGTTCCTTAATCAAATAACTGTAACTAAAGTTATTTTACGTATATCATTGGTAAATCTCTAAAATTGTTATTTTAGACTTATTGAAAATGAATTACTGTTAATACCACCTGCTAACCAGACGGCTGGCGGTTCAAACCCACCAGCCACTCCTCGGAAGGAAGGTTGGGCAATCCTACTTCCGTAGTAATACTGCCTCGGAAACCCAAGGAGGGGTCGCTATGAGTCGGGTTTGACTCGACGGCACATAACAACAACAACCACCACCACCACCTTATGTCAAGGATGGGAGCTCTGGTAGCGTAGTGCCTCGGGCCCTTGACTGCTAACCAGAAGTCTGGCAGTTCAAACCCACCAGCCACTCTCTGGAAGGAAGGTTGGGCAATCTACTTCCGTAGTGATACTGCCTCGGAAACCCAAGGAAGGCTGTCTATGGGTCGAATCCGACTCCACGGCAGTAGTTGCGTCTGTTTTTGCATTACGTCTAGGATACACCCTTTGAATTTCAGAAAATTATGTACATACCTAGGGGTTTATTTTAAATAATTGTTCATGGATTATGTGATTTAGTGTTTAGAAATAGATTATGACAGTGCTTACAAAGAATTTGGGTTTGTTCATAACCTTAGTGATGATAGCAAAGCATTTTTTAATTTTTGTAACTGCTACTTAACTGTATTTAAACATACCCTTACTTTGTTGCTTGCATTTTCATTTTGACTCTTTGCCTTGTTCGTCCATTCTTATGTCTGTTCCATGCTTTATTATGTTTTTTTTTTTTTAAAACATTGTGTTATAAACCATTAGTGATGGTCTTTCTTCTTTCTTGACTACATATACTGTACCTGTGTTTATCTGTTCACAATAGCGATTATTCAGTTTTTGAATGCACACCATTTGCTGTTGCTACAGAAAATGTATACATTAATTATGCTCTATAAAATCTACTTTTAAATTTTCTAAAGAAATAAGCTCAGCACTTCTTCCACTTTTCTCTGATTTAATCCACATTATTTGGTTGTTTCTTCCTGGGTGCAACTCTTTAACATACTGTTCTAGTTTTCAGGTTTGTCTTTTAGCTTTCTCCTCTTAGGTTTCATAATTATAAATAAATCTAGCTATCACTTAGTTTTCTAATTACTTTAGCTTCCTATTTTTATAGTTAGCTTCATTTACTTCCCCTATTTTCTCCATGTTCAGCTCTGTTGTTTAATTGTTGTCCTTTCCATCTTTCCCAAACTTCATTAATCTATGTTTATATCTCAAAAAACATTAAAAACACAGACTAGAAAAACTTCTTTGAGGAGCCCCAAAAATTTTGAATGGCTCTTTTACATTCCATCTTGGCTTACATGCCACTATTTTAACTTAGATACTTACTAACATATTTTGTTATACTTTGTTTTCCCACTTCTCTTTTTTTTCTTTAATGTCTCCAGAATTACCTTCTTTAATTACTGTTACAATAAGATTCTACTGTTCACACATCAGGTGTTATGGGTTCTTACATTAAGCATCTCTGCAACCACTTTTATGGTCATATTTATTATGCTTTTGACTTCTTAAACCATACACATTTATTTCCCTGTATTCACCTATTCTACTTTTTTTCCTTACCTTTCTGTGCTACCTATCAAGCTGGATGTCTTCCCTAGCAGCCATATGAAACTTGTTGCTGTCAAGTCCATTCTTACTCATGGTGACCCCCTGTGTCCAGAGTAGAACTGCTCAACCAGGGTTTTCTTGGTTTGGCATTTACAATTAAGTGCTTGATTATTAGCTCAAAGATTGGTGGTTTGAACCCACCCAGAGGTGCCTCACAAGACAGCCTTAGTGAAAGGTTCTGAAAGCTTACAACCTTGAAAACCCTATGGAACAGTTCTACTCTGACACATACGAGGTCACTGTGAATCAGAATCAGTAGATGGCAATTAACAACAACTTCTCTAAGGCAGCACATCACAAGCCCTTTCTTCTGCAACATTGCTAGGTGAGTTTGAATTGCCAACCTTTAGGTTAGTAGTCAAGTACAAACTGTGGCATCCAGGGACCTTTATCACAGTGTCCCTAAATTTTGAAATTATGTCCCTATGTCTACTTTCTCGAAACTATGGAACTGTATCATTCACTTTATTCTTACGTTACTTCTAGACTCAAAGAGATCTCAAGTTGTTCTTAAGGTACCAGTAGATGACGGCTTTGCCAGGTTTTATAAATGATAGTATGTAAGATAATAGAAAAGAAGTATACATAAAAATTAAGTTGAAATACAATAAGACTATCTGGAGATTATTTATCTATGATCTTAGATATAC